CAAGCCCAGCTGCTAGCAGCTATAGGCTATTCCAAGAAGGCCAGTTGTACAGTCTTTCGGAAATTTGCTGTGTCGATTGTGAGTCATTGAGCTTGCTATGAGTATTTTGCCAAATTGTTATTGCTTTCTTGATGATAGTAGAATGAATGTTTTTATAAAATCTTTCTCATCTGAACACCTTAACATAGTCTTCCCCGGCCAAAACATTTTATATCATATTTTTGATTTCAATGTTAAAAACCTTGAAATGTAAACACTTGCTCTTCTGGACACTTTTTTCTGGTTCGATTATGTTTGGATTAGACAGGTTGTTATATTAGCAATATTTTACTTTCACAATTTAACATTTCATAACACATTGGTATTACTTCATTCCTTTATCTGTTTTATATTGAAGTTTCAATTTCGATTGTAGTATTAAGAACTGCTGAGGTTGCAGCTGTCTTATATATTTGTGGGGTTTTGTCAGATAAGTATATACAGGGTGGGCCAAAAAACCCAATACCCAAGTTTAAGGATGAATATCTTATTATATAACATTACACCATGACATGTTTTATATATCATTATAAATCATTTCCTTACAATATGATACCATCTGATTGAAAAAACAGTTCAATTAAAATATTTATTAACGATTTAATTTTAATGTTTCATATTGGTACTACATGTAAGTCTATATGTTACATCCACACTTGTGGCTCAATCAAAGACCCATCTATCATTTCAGATGTGTAGTTTGTACCCAGGGCAAGATGATCGCCAACGGCTCGCTGACTTCATGAAGCATTCTGTCAGGGTACAGAAGGAAGTGTACGAAGTCAGCGACCAAACCAATAACGCGGCAAAAGTCCATGACCTCATGGCCAATGTTTTGAACAATAGTATCCAAGAGGAACCGGGAGAAGGTAAGCAATATGCCCTTACCAAAAATTAGTTGGGTACAATGCTAGCAAAGGTGCACTTTATTCATCGCACCGAGTGTAACATTGGTTATACAATAAACCAGCCATACACCAAACCAGTCACAACAAACAAGCCATCAGCCCAACCAGTATTTAAAACAAGTAACTAACCAGTCATACAACAAACTAGTCATAAAACAAACCATCCATACACTCAACCAATAGCAATGCAATGAAACAGTGGTATAATGAGTATCTACTTCAGTTATCATGAGATTATTTTGTTTAAATTAAAGGCATTGAAATACAAGAGATGCCGGAGGATGAACCCGAAGGGTTGATCCTGGAAGATGATGTTGACCAGCCTCCAACCAGCATCCATGATGATGATGAAGTATGTAGATTTTTAAACATAGCTGCTAAAATCCACTTAGAAAACAATTTTTTTAGTAGTATAGAATATACACAATATAATTGAATGATGTATGTTATCTGCACTTTTTGGATAAATAGAGGTGTTTCATGCCACAAGAACAATACTCACTGAAGCTAACATGTTGATTTTCAATCAATTCTCCCATCAACCAAGTTGTGTTTGCAACCAGGGGCCGTGAATTTGTACCATCCCCAATCCAATCTGGATAAATTTTGGATTACTAATCCGATGAATATTTGGTGAATTCTTACGGTCCGAGGATTATGAGGGGGAATCCCCAAGATTTATCCAATTTGCAAGGGAATTCAGATAAAATTTATCCAAAAAGTAATCCACCTCAAGAGGTGGATTAAGATTTATCCCAGGATCATACGAATTCACAGATTTTTTGATTAATTCTTGGATTAATCCCACAATGCATCATTACCATGACGAAATTTATCCAGATCGGATCGCGGATCGTACGAATTCACCACCCCAGGTGGTGACATTTAGTTTTTGTTTTACAGGAAAGTGAAGAGGATTCCCTCTTCATTCCTCCTGCCCCAGATTCACCAAACCATGACAGCCCACAACCAAGGAAGCGGCAGCCAGTAAGTATACAGGGTGACCCAAAATGACAGATCACTAACAGTGATATATTAAACAAATATTTCATCCATTCATTGTGATTGGAGTTATATAAAAGAAATTATTAATGTTTATCATGGTAGCCCCTCATAAAATCCCCAGGGGGTATAAATGGTGACTTTAAGGTTTTCCACTACTTAGGTTTTTGTAGATTTCTGATATGTTGCTTTACTTACCGATTTTACTGGAGTACTTGTGAAACATCAACAGGTATTTACCAAACATATGATTAGATATTTATATATGATATTTAAAACATAAACAGCTGATCTTTTTGATTTTTTTGTTTTACAGGAAAGGTTATCTGTGTTCACCCCTCCTGCCCCTAGTCCTCCCAACCCTGACAGCTCATCAAGGCAACGGAAGCCCGTAAGTAAGGGTCTACAGGTTGACCCACTCTAAGAAAGGAGCACGTAGGTTATCGCAAACAATTTCAAACGATTCTAACTTGAATTATGAATATTTTTTGATCATGAACATGGGTGTATCTTTTAGATCCATTCGTTATCTTCAAGAAAAGTATATATAATGATAATTTAGTTAATCAGACCTAAGTGATGTTGAAGGGGCAATGGACCAATCAACATACTTTTTCAAAAATGTTGACCTAATTTTCACCAAAAATGCAACCTATTATTATATTGTTGAATGCATAATTAGAATGTGCTTTGAGACATGTTCGATTTCCTAAAAGGAAATTTTGATTGCTCCAGGGAATTTAAAGATATTCAATTTGGATGACCAAAATGAACTGAAACCAATGGATAGCATGAGATTTTTCAATGGAGAAATAACATGGGGAACACTTATCTTAATGCAATTAAGTTTTTCTTTCAAGAACTATTTGATACATCAAAGTAAAGAATAGTAATGCATTAAACATTGTAAAAAATGATTGCATTTTTGGTGAAAATGGGGTCAACATCTTCAAAATGGGGTCAAAAAGTGTGTTGATGGGTTAATTGCTAGTTAAATATCTCCGAGTTGGTTTGAATTTATTATTACTGTGCATAATTTTCTTTGAGATAATGAATTGATCTAAAAGATAAACTTGTCTTCATTGTCAGAAAATACTCATAATCCAAGATATAACCTTCTGAAATTGTTTGCGATAACCCACGTGCTCCTTTGAAGCATAAATGTTTTTGAAAATTTACATTAGAATAAATTTTATTGATGATGCTAGAATACTTATTGGGCCACTGATTATGTCGACAAAGTATGATGACCCAAAGTCAAATGATATAGTAGGAAGTGAAAGTGTTAAAGCAAGACTGTATTCAGTGATAGGGTAGAATAATACTTTAAATGGTTTATCTTTCTTATAGAAATCGTTCAGTGATGTTATTCATCAAAATCAGCTGGACAATTTGGACTTCATTGCCAAATTAAAGTTGCCAAATCCACCAACACATGAGCCAAGGAGTTTGAGAAAAAGAAAGGTAGAATTAATAGGGTCATTTCATGAAATGTTAGCTGTTTCAGTCAAGGCCTATATATTATATCTGTGTATTTTAATCATCATTCTAACTTCATTAGACTCTTATTGTTTTTTAGCGACATGTTGATATTAATTATATATCGAATATGTAACACTAATCCTGATTGGTCAATCCAGAAATATTTTCACTATATCTATGAAAGTTATATTCCCTCAAATGAAAGAAGCAGGAATATACATTTGAACTTAAGCAGAGGAAACGGGACAAGATTCACTAATTTTAAGCAAGAATGTAAATGATTTCCCCTTTGGAATATTCTCTATAATATACATTTTAGAGGATATACTCTCAGGGAAATAATTTACACTATTGCCCTCAATGGCAGTCACTATTTGTATAATGTTGGCCCTTCAGTCATGATAAAATCACATTGTTTTTATAGAAAAAGATTCCCAAATATGAGGAAGACTCTGAATGGGAAAAGAGTGAAGAGGAAGAAGTAGAAGAAGAAGAAGAAGAAAGAGAACAGGAAAACTTCCCAAACAAGAAGAGTAGGACCTTAAGTTACTCAATTTTTTAAGATACTTATAATAAATGATAAATGCATCATTGGAAACCTGTTTGTTCAAACACCTCTCTTTAGAAATTGAAATGCAAATTAATTACTTCTTATTAATTAACTCTTTATGTCCAATTAATGCCAAGTAAATGGTCATTATGTTAGAATTTCTCATTCTCGTACGACATGACTTAAAGAAATCAGGGAAATTGAAATGCTTCATGTTGAGTTGAACACATTAAAAAGCCCTACTGATTGGTTACTGGACAATATATGATATTGTTCAAATGTGTCGTGTTATAAACATCTTTACTTCTTGATTACAGGAAAATCAGCTAAGGCCTTTAGGTGTGATGAATGCCACAAGACCTGGGAATCAGCTTGGCTGCTGAAGAGGCATAAAGCTGTACACCAGGATAATGCCCTCTTCACATGCCAAAGATGTATGGCACAGTACAAGCATCTTGATAGCTTGAAAAGACACAAGAAAACTGCCAAGCATTAATTGTGACTTGCGTTAGCTTTGATTCTTTGCCCAGCTGCTTCAGCTATAGGCTAGAGTCATTATTGGCGACCAGATATTCCTCAAAGATTCCATTGCCCAGCTGTTTTCAGCTATAGGCTTGGTCATTATTGGAGTTGTCTAACAATGGACTGTGCGGGGTTGGCAAACGTAGGGACTGTGGATTGTGCAGGGTTGGCAAACATGGCGAACAGAGTCATCATTGGTGAACAGACATTCTTTAAAGATTCCACTGCCCAGCTGTTTTCAGCTATAGGCTTGGTAATTATTGGTGTTGTCTAATATTGGACTGTGAGGTTGGTAAACATAGCGAACAGATATTCCTTGGAGATTCTTTGCCCAGCTGCTTCAGCTATAGGCTAGAGTTGTAATTGGAGAACAGACATTCCTTTAAGATCCCATTGCCCAGCTGTTTTCAGCTATAGGCTGGGTAATTATTGGAGTTGTCTAACATTGGACTGTGAGGTTGGTAAACATAGCGAACAGATATTCCCTGGAGATTCTTTGCCCAGCTGCTTCAGCTATAGGCTAGAGTTGTAATTGGAGAACAGACATTCCTTTAAGATCCCATTGCCCAGCTGTTTTCAGCTATAGGCTTGGTAATTATTGGAGTTGTCTAACATTGGACTGTGAGGTTGGTAAACATAGCGAACAGATATTCCTTGGAGATTCTTTGCCCAGCTGCTTCAGCTATAGGCAAGAGTAATCATTGGCGAACGAACATTCCTTCCCAGCTGCTTCAGCTATAGGCTAGAGTTGTAATTGGCGAACAGACATTCCTTTAAGATCCCATTGCCCAGCTGCTTCAGCTATAGGCTTGGTATTTAATGGAGTTGTCTAACATTGGACTGCGAGGTTGATAAACATAGCGAACAGATATTCCTTGGAGATTCTTTGCCCAGCTGCTTCAGCTATAGGCAAGAGTCATCATTGGCGAACGGACATTCCTATAAGATCCCATTGCCCAGCTGCTTCAGCTATAGGCTTGGTCATTATTGGAGTTGTCGAACATTGGACTGCGAGGTTGGTAAACATTGTGAACAGATATTCCTTGAACATTCTTTGCCCAGCTGCTTCAGCTATAGGCTAGAGTTGTAATTGGAGAACAGACATTCCTTTAAGATCCCATTGCCCAGCTGCTTCAGCTATAGGCTTGGTCATTATTGGAGTTGTCGAACATTGGACATTGCAAAGTTGGCAAACAGTCTTCTAACCTGATTCTCAATGTATAGTTTCCCTGCCCAGCTGCTTGCAGCTTTATAGGCTTTGCTTGCTTGATTTGTGGATATTTTCCCATGACTATTCCTGCCCAGCTGTTTCAGCTATAGGCTAGAGTCATTATTGGCGAACAGACATTCCTTTATGATTCCATTGCCCAGCTGCTTTCAGCTTTAGGCTTGGTGATTATTGGAGTTGCTAACATTGGACTGTGCTAGGTTGACAAACATGGCGAACAGATATTCCTTGGAGATTCTTTGCCCAGCTGCTTCAGCTATAGGCTAGAGTCATTATTGGTGAACAGACATTCCTTTATGATTCCATTGCCCAGCTGCTTTCAGCTTTAGGCTTGGTGATTATTGGAGTTGTCTAGCATTGGACTGTGCAAGATTGGCAAACATGGCGACCAGATATTCCTTGGAGATTCTTTGCCCAGCTGCTTCAGCTATAGGCTAGAGTCATTATTGGCGAACAGACATTCCTTTATGATTCCATTGCCCAGCTGTTTTCAGCTATAGGCTTGGTAATTATTGGAGTTGTCTAGCATTGGACTGTGCAAGATTGGCAAACATGGCGACCAGATATTCCTTGGAGATTCTTTGCCCAGCTGCTTCAGCTATAGGCTAGAGTCATTATTGGCGAACAGACATTCCTTTATGATTCCATTGCCCAGCTGTTTTCAGCTATAGGCTTGGTAATTATTGGAGTTGTCTAGCATTGGACTGTGCAAGATTGGCAAACATGGCGAACAGATATTCCTAGAACATTCCTTGCCCAGCTGCTTCAGCTATAGGCTTGGT